AAGGAGGTGAATAGAATATTAGAAAAGTTAGGTATGGTAGACCTCTGGAGAAGAGGATAGATAAGGGAATGTCTGAGTTCATGAACATGAAAGTGGTGCATTTGTGGGTGATGCACGGCAAGACCAAGGGTATTGACCATCTTTATGTGTGGCTGAGGAGGGGCATGCCATGTGAAATAAGCTGAAGGACTATAATGTTAGGATGTTTGAGGAAGCATCAACCATGTATTTTAAAGTCTCCTAATATGAATGCAGGAGTTTGGGAAGCAAGAAAGACTATGAGTCAGGCACTGAGCTCACTGAAGAAACAAGGGGAGTAGTCCAGAAGTTTGGCAGCTATTGGGATTTTAATTAGGTGGTAGATATGCACCAAGTGAGTGGTGGGGGAGGGGAAGCCATTGGAGGTTTGAAGAAGGATGAAAAAGTGAACCTCAAAGGAGAAGAGAGCTTACTAAGTGGTGATGGTAGAGGAAGAGCCTGGAAGTGACATTGCGTATTCCAACTTCCCATCACCTGGACTTGATGAATCAGATGCAATGAGTGAAAAGTGCAACCATCACTGAAAAGCAAGGCCAGGAGGTAGCTACGTATCAGTGACAGTCAAACTTTCCTGCTGATCAGCAGGAAAGAAAAAAATTTAAGATGAAAGCAAGTTTGTCGCCTGTGGAGCAGGCATGTTAGGTAGCACAGTGGAAGTGGTGGTGCAACTTTAGAGAGGGGCACTGAGGTTGGAGAGGATAGATTAAAGGGAATGAGAAATAAGGGATCAGGCAATGGGGTGAAGGAGAAAGGAGTCTGAGAACCAGGGAGGAGATATGGGGAGGGGGTGTTAATCATTGAATTCGTTTAGATTTTCCTAAGGATTTGGCCTTAACAGTGTGGTGTCCTCTTAAGGACTTAAGTAGTTTGGGTGAGGGTATAAGCACGGGGAGCTGAAGAAATGATGATACTCTCCTTCCCGTAAGGCAGGAGACCATAGGTCACATCAGATCTGGAGATTTGATGGAATGGTCTTTTTCTTCTTCCCTGGAAAGGAGAAGTCTGGTGCTTGACAGAAGGGTGTTTTGCCTCTTCCTAAGGGAGGCAGGAGACCTAGTCAGATGGAATGGCATCCTTTCCAAGGTAGGAGACTAGCGTTCAATAGAATAATGTTCCTTTTCTTCACAGTGAAACCAGGCAAGGAGACTATGGCATTTTCCACTTTACCTCAAAGGCTGGTGAGTGATGGAATGACTATACATGGAACATATGAAAAGACAGGACAAATCTACAGGCTGCAACACTGCAAAAGGCAGGGAGGTGTTGTGGTCTGGGTGGGAGAAGGGGGTGCAGGAGTTCACAGACAACCTTTAATTTTTTTGGTAGAAATCCAAAAAAATAAACATAACATGATATATGCATCTCTTCTGGGCATTACCAAATCTGTGAGGCAACGTGAACTCGATTCGTCCTAGCCCCACGTCCAGGATCCTAGGCATTAAGCTGCGCTGCCTCCCGACCCGGAGGACGCAGCCACTGGCATCCCTGCACCTCCACAGCAGCCCCGGCCCGGGCAGCCAGGAGTGTCTATGGAACAAGTAGCAGCGGACCCTCAGGACACGCCAGGCCGCGAGCTGGAGAGCGCGTCCGCGCGAGGCAGTCCCGGCCCGAGCCGACTGCGAGGTGTACACGCGCCCACAACTGCCTACCAGTCTTCAAACCAGGAGAGCGGGAACTCCAACCACCTCCGTACCCTCCCCCACGCCCTCGGGATTTTAAGTCGGGAGACTCCCCCGCCTCCCAACCCTAGGTTCTCGACCAGTCAGAGGCCGAGGCGGCTCAGCGGTCGCCATGGTTACTCTTTATGGGCGGTGAATGGTGGAGGAAGTGGCGGGGACCGTCACTCAGCGGCCGGCTCCGCCCCGGGATCTTCCCTCCCTGGGCGCTCCTCCTCTTTCCTTCCTCGAGGGCCCCGCCTTGCTTTCCTTGCTTGGTAGCTGTGAGGACTCGGAGCTAGAGCGGGTTTTGGAGCTCAAGCTGTGAGTAAACTGGGGCCCCCGAGTCGGAGCCCGGAGCCAGAACGGCGGCCGAGGCGGCTTCAGGTGAGCTCGGCCTCTGCGGGGGCAGGACGCTCCGCCCCGGGTTGGGTGTGTGTACGGGGGTCGGGGTTGTGGGGCACCCCGGTGATGGGGGCTGCCGCTACCGGAGGGGGAGGAGGCCGGTCCAGGAAATCAAAATGGCTCCCGCGGCTCGGCTCCCCTCCTCCTCCCCCCCCGCGGCCTCCTACTGGCCTCCCCCTCCCCCTCTCTCTTCTGCCCTTTCCCTTTCTGGGCCTCTTAGGCCCCGAACCCGGGGCGGGAAGCCGGGCCCTCTCCCGGCCCGGCCTTTGTGTGGCCCGGCCCTGAGCCGCCGGCGCTTGCCGGCACAAAGCGCCCGCCCCGGCCGGGTCCTGCGGCCCGCGCTCGGCCCCCGCCTTTCCCGCCCGCTCCCTCGCGGTCCTCGCCCCTCCAGGCCCCGGGGCCGAGGCCGCCCCGCGCACCGGCTCCTTCCTGGCTAATCCCCCAATTTCTTTTTCTGTTTTCTTTTCCTACCTGCTCGTAGATTTCTCTCATCTCGTCACCCTTTGCCATCCCCTCTTTCTTGCCCCCTCCCATATATATATGTGCGTGTAGCCCACCTGCCCAGCCGAGAAGGCCGCTCCTCGCACAGAGGCTCCCGGCAGCGCCAGTTCCCCATGGATCCCCGGGGCCGCTTCCGCGGCAGGACAGACTTCCCGCTGTGCAGGAGGAAACGTACTTTGAGTAATGGAAAGTCACTTCTACCAACCATTGTAACTCCATCCAGAGCTGCTGGTGACATCTTAAATCTCTAGTGCGAAGGTCGAGTTGGTTGATTAGCCTTGCCAGGTTTCTTCCCGAAATGCAATGAATTATTTGTGAAAATACATGATTGAGGGGAGGGCGTTCTAGTTTATAATGGGAGTGGTTGTGGTGGTGGTGGTGGTGGTGTGTTGGTGATGGTGATGATGGTGGTGGTGGTGGTGGTGGTGGTGGAGGAGGAGGTGGGTTTGGTGCCTAAGGTGGATGGTTTTCTTTCATTTGTTGACCCTTTTCAGGTTCCCCAACCCCTTTTAGACTTCTCAGCAATCTGACATTTATATGAGGCTTTAAAGTTTGCAAAGAAGTACAGGTTCTTAAAAGTGTTTTTTAAAAAAAAGTTATGTTGGATGTTGCTAATCTCACATTCTAGGTGCCACAGGCAAAATCCTGGTATATTTCATCAGTCTGTCAGTCCTTCCGTGAATTTTATTTATTGGCACAGGAGTTTTTACCTATATTTGGTCAATGGAAGGTATTGTATCATTTCTTGTGAAGTCAAGATAATACTTTTTTTTTAAAAAAACAACCCGTTTTGTTCCTCACAGCAGCTTTCTGTGAGTAAAGGAGGTGCTACCACTGTGAAGCTGAAGTACTTGGCCTGTTGACTCAGATGGGCTGGGGAAAGAGATTATCCCAATATGGTTCTTCATATCAAAGCGGGACCATTGTAAGGCTGCTTCTAGAATAAGATGGTAGTTTATTCAGAACTCTAATACTCAGACCCTGCTGAAATTGGTGGTAAGACCCACCAATCCTAAAAATAGCTTATTTGGTGTGAATTTGGGGACGTATATGAACCATATCGTACAACTGACTTGGATTTTAAACATTGTGACTTGTATATATCATCCTACCAGTCCTTCTCTTCATCAAAAAATGCCATTGTGTAAGTTTTCTTTCTTGAATTCCTTGCAGAGGAAGAAATGGGTAGTAGATGTTTGCAGTGGGAAACTTGAATTTCATGTTAGCAGCACTTAGCAAAACCTCATGTGGTGGACTGTTGCCCTTTTAATTTAGCTACTCTTTTTGAAAAGTATAACAAGTGATACATCATAATTTATGGAGAATGGTGATCAACCATGAAACATTTTAATAAAAGGCATGCTTCTTTGTGGCTTGCTTTCCGATGCTGACATGGTGAGTGTTCATTTTAAGTGTTCTTAAATTTTGCTTTTAAGAAAAGAATTAATTGAAATTTTATAGAATAGTTCTCCTTCCCCATCCTATATAGTAGGAAGCAATTGCACTGTTAGTATTGTGTTATTATATATCTGGAAGCACAAAGATTCCACCAAGAGTGGTTGAAAAACCTGGTGCTTGTACCTACTACTTCCCTTTCAGTCTTGTTTAAGCTGACCAGTCAAATGGAGACTGACGACAGGGAGGGAAATAGGATGTGGGAAGAGGACAGTTCTCCCAAACATTTACTGGTAAGTAAACTTTATCTTTGTTGGTCTCCACTTGCCTTGTCCTACTGTAGTAACAAGTAGAAATAGTAATTAGTGAGAGTAAAAAATTTTCCAGAAAATAGCAGAAAGGTAAATTTTCCCAATGCTTTTGTGACTAAAATGAAAGACTTAAAGGAGAAATCAACCTATTGTAGTGTGTCCCAGGGAAGCATTAGACCAAATAGAAATTGTCACAAGGAGTGTCACAACCAGTAGACTGATAGCTTTTTTTTTTCTGCTGGGAAAGTTAAAGAGTAGTGGGAATAAATTACCATACTTTAAAAAAAAACTTTTTAAACATAAAATAAAGGACACTTCTAGATAAGGAAACTTCCAACACCAATATAGTCAGTAGCTTCTTTGCAATTTTAAAGTCTCTGTAGGGCAGAGAGGTTAAGTGATTTCCTCAGAATTATACAGCCAGTATGTATCAAATTGAGGTGGGACCTAGGGTCTTCTAGCTTTGAGGCCAGTAGTTCCTCTATTTATTATGCCACATTGCCTCTCAGAGGTTAAAAAAAATTGTTTTAATTTATCTGTATTTTTTATGTTACACAATTTGTTTTGCTGACAGTTACTATCAATATTACTTTTAAGATTTAGCACTGAAATCAATAGCCATCGAGGCATTTATTTCCTACCTTTAAGGAAAAACTAGAAGAAGCCTTTTGTCTCATGTTGGGGCGGGGGGGGGGGGGTTAATTCAGCTGCTGTGTTTTTTCTTATTTTGAGGGAAGAGTGGTAAATTTTGTTATCTTCCAAATAATGTTTCATTTGCCTCAACTTTCAGTGGGTTCTATCTCAGTCCTTATCCTATTAAATGGGTAAAAGGATTTTACTTTTCATTCTCGGTAAGTAACCAAAGTGACTGGATCTTTTAAGACTCCATTATGATTTACCTGCAAAATTCAAGTTCCAGAAATCAGATACCAGTGTTTTAGCAATCAACCATCATTAGTACAGATAATCCAAAAGCTTAGTAGCTTTTGATTTGGGGATATTTTAAGTCATATTTTATGTAGATAGAAGCCTTAATTCCTGAGATCATTTGACAGACAGCTTACAACTGGAGCAACATCCCATACGTGGCTAACTCAACTTTTTTATGGCTAGTGATTGTTGCTGGGATTCTACCTCTGAAGTAGATTTTTGAGAAGAAAATACCACTTAATAAATATTAATAGTATGAGATAATTGTATGCTCTGCATAGTGTCTGACCCATAGTAAGCACTATATAAGCATTAGCTATTATTATAACAAATAAGACATATCCGCTTTGTAGAGTTTAGTTAGAATGTGATACAGAATACTGTGAATTCAGGGCAAGGAATGCAAGACATTTTTCCACTTTACCTCTCTGTACATCCTCATGTTGTTCCTCATGCTGCTTTCCTTTCTCTCTCCTCCCCGCTTTAGCACCCTACCCAGGCCTGCCCTAGCTCTCCCAAGTAACCTTGCTCCAAAGATACAACCTTCAACCCCCCAACAACAATTCTTATTTTTCTAGGTTGCCAGTTACCTCAGGTAAGTGTTAGGAGGAAAGAAGTCTGAACTAATTCATACTAAAGTGTGAATGAAAAATCTTCAACCACCCCAACAGTACCAAATTTTCATTTATTAAAGACTGCTCCAGCTGATAGAAATTCAGACAATGACAAAGTGAAAAGAAAAATTCAGGTAGTATATGAGGAATTAATTACTAGACTTCAAAGGATATATACATTGGATCAAGCTTCCAGACACCCTGCAGACAATCTGCTCTTGTGCTTCAATTTCCCTAGAATGTACCTACATTTTTATATAACCTTTGGATGCATAAATAGATTTTGAGTGTATACTGTATAGTACATGTGCTACTTTGGGTTTATAATAATGTATTGGTATTTGGAACCATCTATTAGTCTTTTTTTAAGTTTTTAGAAGATTTTTGAAATGTAGTTACACATTTCATTTTTAGTACACAAACACTGTTACAACATATTTTGGTAAATGAAGCAGTATTTAAGAGTATATAGAAGCAAAAATCGTTTTCACATTTTAAATTAAAGCAGTTAATGTCCTTTCTTGATTAATATTTAAAAGAATTTAGTATGTGGAGGATTGCATTTGTACAAGTAAAACCAAGACAAAGCTAGATTGAGTTTTCTAGCAAGGCTCCCTTTCAGCTCTGGGATTCAGCTGCTATCATCTAAATACTATTAGCTATAAACTCCTTTTTGTCTGTGGGTTATCTGAGTAGCAGCAGTGTCTACAAGCAGTCAGCTTACTGCTTACTATAGAATGTTGGCTATAATAATGTACTTCTGATCTGAAATTTTGTTACTAAAGATCTTTGAGTTTTAACAGTTTTGGCTTTCAGAAATTTACATCCCCCCCCCACACTCACACCCCCTACCCCCTTTAATGTGCTTAAGGGCAATTTAAAAAAATACCTATGCACCTTTGCTTATTCTAAAGCAGAGGTGTCAAACTTGCTGCCTTCAAAACTCCAGAGTCAAAGTGAGGCCTGAACTAGATTAAAATGTAATTGAGAAATGTTTTAACAAAATAAAAATGCAATTCAACATAGATAATGTTTGTGGCTTTCTAAGTCAGTATGACCCCTGTAGGGATGTTTTTTATTTGAGTTTGATACTAGCGTTTCTGACGTAACTCACTAGTCAACTATTAGTTTTTAAATTGGCTTGTCATATTCTGAGCTTCAGTGTTGCAAAATGTTTGTGATAACTTATTTTAAAGCATTTTAAAACATTCCAAATTGTGGCTTTTTTGTCTCATTCACATTTTTTTGTTATTTAAGTAGGTGGAGGAGCCATTGACTTAAGTATGCCTAGCAATCTGGAGGAAAGGGGAAAATGCTTATTTCTAAATCAATAGGGAAATGTTGGATCTGGAGCCAGAGGGCTTGGGTTTGACTTACTACCTGTATGATCCCCTAGGTCACACTTAGCAAGTTACTTAATTTCTTTTAAAAATGAGGGAGTTGGACTAGATTGATCTCTAACATCCCTATCAGGTCTAAATAAATCTATGATCCTGTAAAGTAGAACCTTTGTTTAGAAAGCAGTGATTGCTGCATAATGGAGTGGTTTTTTTCCTATTTTAAACATGGTAATTCTAAAAGTTAAGAAAGGCAGTATAACTTAGTAGATAGTTTGCCTTGTCCTTGGAGTTGAGTACTGTCTCTGACATATGCAGGCCATGTGACCCTGTGCAAATCTCTTAACCTTTCAGGGCCCCACCAACTCTCCAGGACTCGGGCAGGAACAGGTACTGATCTTCAGTCTGATAAAATTGTAGGTCTGGTCAAAGAGGAAAAAATGAAAAAGTGATTAGCCAGAAAATTCAAAACTTGTCAGCAGCATGAAGAAGCCTATTCATATGCTAGGTATTACTGTAACATAATGACAGTTTTAAGGGGAAAACAAACCAGGCATAACAGCATTTATACGTGTCCATTACACACATGAGTGCACATAGACACAAAAAATAGTTTTGTTCTCTTCAAAAACCATTTTGTACTTGAATATTTCAAAAATGTCTTTGCTTAAAATATTTTGAAATAGGCTTGAGGGCCTGTGGCACATTCCTCTCTCACTGGTGGCAAATCCTTGTTCTTTGAAGGTGGTTTTAATTTTTGGGACTAGCCAAATTGGCTAGTGTTCGGGAATAAGGTGAGTGAGTGAATAACACTTTTTATTTTTGGTTAGCAACATCCATAGTATACTGGAAAGTGCTGGAGTAAGGAGATTTAAGTTCAGATTTTGATTATTAGCAGTGTGACCATGGGAATCTCTGAGCGTCTATTTCCCTATTTGCAAAATGGTAATGATACTTGTACATACTAATCACAGGTTGTGTGTAAAAAACACTTTATAAAATCTAAAGCACTACATAAAATGAGTTGTCTGTTAATAATAGTAATTATAGCCAATATTTATGTGATGCTTACTATGTGCCAGGTAGTGTGCCTGTGCTACGTGCTTTACAGTTATCTCAGACGATCCTCAACAACCCTGGGGGATGGGTGCTGTTATTATCCTCATTTTACAGATGAAAAAACTGAGGCAAAGAAAGGTTAAGTGATTTTCCCAGGATTATACAGTATCTTGAGGCTGGATTTGAACACAGGTCTTTGTGACTCCAAACCCAGTGTTCTATCTGCTTAGTTGCTACTCTTTATGATAAAAGTAAGGAGACTGAATTTTCTTAGGTGGCTTTTAAACTGCCTCTGCTAGTAATTTGAAAAGGGAATTTGATATTTAAACTCGAACTTCACCTACCTAATAGCTGACATGTAATGTTTTAAGATTTTCAAGATTTTTACACATTTTATCTTGTTTGAGCCTCACAGAAACCCTGTGAAGTATTTACAGTTACTCTCATTTTTATACTGCAGGTAATAACCCCATTTTTTTAATGAGAAAATTGAAGTTTATAGAACTTGTGACTTGCAGATGATCATACAGTGTCACAAGTGGGATTTGAATTCAGTTCTTCCTGACTTAAGTCAGCTATCCTTGTAGCCCCCTGTATGTGGCCTCAGTTGGGTAAAAGGAAGTGTTCTCTAAGGGGGGAAAAAACCTAGAAGTACCTGTGATATGGTAAGTGTTGGATTAGGTATTGAGTGAGATAAATTGAGATAAGACAATTCTTGTCTTTCAGGAGCTTAAAATCTAGTACCCTTTGGGGGGGGGGGTTTGAGGCAGTTGGGGTAAACTGACTTGTCCAGGGTCATACGGTTAGTGTCTGAAGTCAAATTTGAACCCAGTTCCTTCTGACTCCAGGGCTAGTGCTCTATCCACTGTGCCACCTAGCTCCCCACACACTTGTGAGACAAAGACAGCAGCTCATTTTTCCCAGAATTTACACTGGCTATAGGCAATAAATATCCATGCTTTTTTTTAATTTTTGAAAACTTACTTTAGTATATATACATAGTAAGGTAAAGGTAATTGTCCTCACAGTTACAATAAATACTTTTTGTTGACCAACTTTTTAAAAGAAGGTGATTTTTACAAAAAAGAAAATAAGTAATTTCCTTCCACTAGATTTCACTTTTTAAAATTAGAAATTACCCTGAGCCACTTAGGTTTTAATATAGCAAATTTATGTGTGTTGATAATCTTATCTAAAAACATGATAACAGTAGGTCTTCAGTGTAGTGAGCAGTTTATATGTAGATATACATATTTAGTATATCTTCTAAACATTTTTCCAGCTAAATTTTATGGCTGCTTATGATTGTCATTTCAGAATTATCCAATTGATTGGGTGACCTGATTTGCAGCCAAAATAATGCAAAGTGGGTAGATGCTTAAGTGGAGAAGACGGCAAGAAATCTCTGCTAAATCATGATTCAGGGCTTATTATTCTAGTAATTCATAACTTGGGCAGAATTTTATTTGATTTCATTATGGATTGGGGAAGAATTTGATTTAAATTTATTTGTCCTAATTTAAATCACTCATTGGGAAGACTAATCATTTGTCTTAACAAAAAGTGCCTTTGATAAATTGTGATTGAAGCTTTGATAACTTTTCATAATCAGTAAATTTACTTCTTAAGAGAATTTAGCTATTGTACAGTTTAAATATGTCAGTAGAGCTATGATATTATTTTGATAACTCCATTGAGACGGCTGGCAATCTTACCATGCCTTCTAATTCATAATTCTAATTCGTTATCTCCCATAAATACTACAAAGAGGTTTGCTGTTAGTCTTCCTTTTGATCTTTTTCACATTTTGTAGCTATAGTGTCCTATCTTTTTTATCACTCTTCCTCACTATATGATTAACTATTCCTTTTCTTTTGATCATATACCTTTTAAAACATTGACTTATTTTTCTTTTTAAAAAAATTTTAACTACCTTAAAAAATAATTATTTGCCAATGCTTAATGAAATAAGTTTGAAGTAACTGGGGGAGAGAAGGGGTTGAAGCCTTTCCAGATTAATAATTTCATTTCAATTCATAAATATTTTAAAATCGATTATAGTGTATAGCCACTGGGGATGTAAAAAGACGATGAGTGTGGGGAATATATCATGTTCTCAGAAAAATGAAGGTAATTTGAAACGGGAAATTTGTGCATATTTTTGCCACAGTATTTTAGGGAGATAAAAGGATACAAGAATGCCAAGAAATATTATGTTTAAAAGAAAAAGTAGATAAGCTTTCTTGTATTACAAGCATGTATGATTGTCTTTAAAATATTTTTTAAAAATATTTTAAAATTGAGCATATGACTTAAACATGTAGTGTTCTTTTTATTCATAGACTAGCAATAATTAGCATAGCACTTTTATTTTTAAATTCCTAAATGATTCCTCAATTTAGAATTCAGTGAGAGAAAATGTATTTTTCTATTCATGCAGGAGAAAAGTTCTTCATAGCTGGATTGGTAAGTCTGAGTTCTTAAAAGCAATATCCACCAACTTTACTAAAAAATTCATTGCACCTTTTTCTTGAATAATGAGGTAATTTGTGTAATGTGATTGGTTTTGTGAAAAAAATATATATTGTAATTAGTACTAAAGAGGGGTGATTAAAGTTTGTTTACAAATAATCATTTATATTCTCAGTTCTATAATATCTGATTTTTAATATAAATTAAAATGATTTTAAGGTATTTTTAGTATCCATTCTGGTATTCTTTTTCTTTCTGAAAGGTTTATATAGAAAATACTTGTTTAACTATTCTATGTATAATTATTCATGTTGCTGGTAATATATTTTGGTGAGTTTTATGACATCCTTGAGATTATTCATTGAGGTTTTATTTCATGAGATGTCATTGTGTTAGTGAGCACTGGTTTGGAGAATATTGACTTTTAAAAATCGTGTCAGTGGCTGTTTTTGTTGTTTGATGACCTGGTTTCAAGTATCATAGATGAATTGAGGCTGTACCTGTAGAGATGGAGCTTTGAAGGAAATTTTTTTAGTATGATTTTAACACACTTTTAATTGTAAAGAAAAAAATTGAGTACATTTTTATAACATGCTTAATATCTTAAGGTTGGTATGCACAGTTAACTTGTTTGTATAGGATGTTTCTTCATGGATTAATTGCATAGTAGGAAGCAAAACTAATATAAGGTAAGGAGAGGAGATCAAACAGTTTGGAGGGCTTATTTGTTTAGAGTAGTTAGAAGAGCTGAAAGCACTTGTGAAATTTTTTTCTGGAGCTTAGTTTTAATGTTTTATCTGTTTTTCTGTCCTTCCTGTAGTACTTACTCTTATTCCTTCAAACATTTATTGAATGCTTACTATGTGCAAAGTGCTGTGGAGAATACATAGATGAATCAGGCAAATTTCTGAACCTCACATGAAGAACTGGCCATAACTTTTTCAAAATGCAAATGACAGACACCTTTTTAAATGCTAGTTAATTTTGTTCTCTTCCTACCAAGGTAGGTGTTGCATTGCCCCTTAAAGAATATGAAATTATAGCTGTCATAGAGAAAAGAAAGGGGCTTTTAATATCAAGAATCAGATATAACTGCAATTTAAGCAGCTTGTACTCCTATTAAGCAGGTAGTATTCCTATATATAGTAATGGTGTGTTTCGAGGTAGAGTTGGTAATATTGAAATGGGTAAGGATCTTTAAGGATAGAGAGCCTTTAAAATAATTACCCAATTTTCAAATTTGAAGAAAGCATTTTACAGAGGAAAATGGTGTAGTGAAAACATTAGCATTTAAGTCTGATAACCGGGTTCAAGATCTGGTCTGTTATGATCTCGGTGACCTCAGGCAAAACACTTAATATTTCTGTCTCTTTAAAATGAAGGGTTTGGATGCAATAATTTCTGAGGCCTTTTCTATCTCTAAATCCTATTCTCTAATCTTTGAAGTAGCATTATGATTAGATTGGAAAGGGAAAGGGGATGATGACAAGAATGTGGGAGGCAGTTAAACACAGTAGGAAGGTACTCTACGATAATTTATTATAATTTATGTGAGAGATGGTTTTAACTTAATGGTTAGGAGCAGAATGTGTGAAGAAAGAAGAATGAAGTAACTCAGATTCCAAGAGATACCAAAGTTTATTTGGAAGATGATCAGGAATCTAAATTCTTAATAGTTTGCGGTTTAATTATTTGCAAGGATAAAAGTAGAATTTCAGAATTCATGATGGATCACAATATACTCATCATTTAGTAAGAAATTTGCAGTCTCTGGTGGTCTGCAAACAGCAGAATATTATAACTTCCTAGCAGTGTATGGTAAATAAACTAAAAAATACTTCCAAATATAGATGTTGCCTCAGAAATCAGATATCTTTGGTGTTTAGTAGAAGCTAATCTCTAAGAACATAAATATGAAGTCTGTTGTTAGAATTCTCCTTATTACAGATAGTTTCTGGTTTTGTGATTCACCATAATAATAAGCCTTGGTCTTTAAGGCATCATTTGGCCTCATTTTTAAAAACCTTGGTTTATTAAAGAATATATTATGAATGTGCTTGGTGTTTTCATAAGTATTTGTAATACAGTTTTCATGTTTTAAAATTCTAGTAGCACTATATGAAAATAAAATGGCATTTCCTTAATCTTATAGTATGGATGAGAGTGGCAGCTTGGTGTAAGTGAATATTGTTGGAGTTGGAGTCAGGAAGACCTGGGTTCAAATTCTGCCTCTGACAGTCACCTCTGACCATGAGAGAGTCACTTAACTTGAGCCTTGAGCAACTCTGTAAGATTTAGATATAGGTGGGTTGTGATCTATGGTGGAAGAAGTTACAAGGCATTAATGTATTTAAACTAGTTTTTTTTTAATTTTTAAATGGTTTAGACTTATTTACAAAGCATTAATGTATTTAAACTAGTTTTTTTTTAAAATTTTTAAATGGTTTAGACCTATTTACAAACAGGCATGAGTAGCATTTTTTTTAATCCCCTTGTTAAATAACTGGATAAATTGATATAATAGGGATGCAGATGTTAAAACTGGGAAGGCAGAGGCCTGATGCCACTTCATTAAATACTTTGTACAGTATGCCTTTTGTTAGAGATGGCTATGTAGTTTAAAACTAATAAGTGTTTTGTCATATAAACATCTTTTAAATCATAAGTTTCTTTACTTTTTTTTGTTTTTAGTTTACTTAGATTTAGGGCACATTTCAAAGCAAAAATTCTATAATCTTAACTAATGGTGCAAATATAGCAGGCCGTCCAAAAGTGAGTTTTATTCCAGTAATAATTCTAAATATACAGCTGTGATTCTGTATGAGCACTATAAGAAAAAAATCAACTGGGATTTATTTGCCTCATTGTACAAATGTAGGCATTAAGGAGAAAATGGAAGTTTCAAAAAATAATTTGGGAAACATATGTTAAGTAGAATGGTAGATCCCTTAATTTGGTTATCTGCATTTTAATCCAAACCTTTACAAGTGATTTTTTTTTTTGGAAACTTAAGGCCCTGTTCACCTGTACCAAGTCTCTGAATATATCTTCTGTTATAGGCATAAACACCCCTTTTGACTTTTCTCTTTCTGTATAATATATGAGACATACCTAGTTCACCTGTTTAAAAATGAACAATATTGATCTTTAATTTGAATGCTGGTCCCACTGTTCAATAACCCACTGACTGTTATATTAGCTAAAGTTAAACCTACTTAGCTGTATTCTAGGAGGAATAGTTTAGTGTTGTGATTAATCCATCGCTGTAGAGATCTAAGCATTGGTTAAATGCTGTTTCCTTCTCTGATAGTTTTTGTTTTTGTTTCTGAAAACTGGACATTTTAAATTATGCTAAAATAAGTTATTTGGTTTTAACAGGACACAATGTTTGCAAGAGGAATAAAGAGAAAATGTTTTGATGGTGAAGAAGATATTGAAGGAACCCTGGCTGGTTTTAAGTCTGTTCCCTCATATAATCTTCAGCGGCAATCACTTTTAGACATGTCTCTGGTAAAGCTTCAGTTGTGTCACATGCTTGTTGAACCTAATCTGTGTCGATCGGTTCTTATAGCAAACACTGTAAGACAGATTCAAGAAGAAATGACCCAGGATGGAACTTGGCAAGTGATAAATGCTCAGAATACAGGACAGGCTTCTCTTGATCGCCTAGTATCATCAGATATCCTTTGTCGTTCAACGAAAGAACAGGGTGAAGGGAAACTTGTCCCAAGTTATAGTAGTTTCTCAAAAGACTTTGAAGACATCCAGTCCCAAGATATTATTTCCGACCTGTCCACAGTTGCATCAGTACAAGCTCCAAGAAATCCTCAAAGTAATGTTTGGGAAATGGAGAACCCTCAAGAAAATAGGGGAAACTTTCAGAAGTCACTAGATCAAATATTTGAAACATTGGAGAACAAAAATCCTAATTCTGTAGAAGACTTATTTTCAGATGTTGACAATTCTTACTATGATCTTGATACAGTATTAACAGGAATGATGAGCAACACAAAAATGGGACATTGTGATGTGCTTGAGAGCTTTTCATCTCAAACAACCACAAATTCTAACTCAAATTGTAAATCTGATATAAATGAGCTTGACCATATTGTGGAAATCCTTGTTGAATCTTGAAATGGTTAAATACAAAGCATGATTCTTTGAAGAAGTCAAGAACTTTGAAAAAACACGCCTTCAAATAGTTTACTATCAAATATATATGTAATCTACATAAAAGCTAAAAAGCACTTCATTTTGTGAAATAGTGTTATCTTTAAAGCTAACATGCTACTTGCCTTTTGACAGTTTTGGTTTGTCCACTGAAATTTAAATATATACTCTAACAAATAGTTGCAGGGTATGACGCTTCCAAGGTTAGGCTTAAACTTTTTCTTCCTCAAGGCAGAGGGGAGACTGGTACAATGGCTTCTTGACTTTTCATTTAACATTTTTTTCAGGGCCTATACTTAAATTCCCAGTTGCCCTGATTCCTTTACCTTTCCTCTTTCTTTTTCAGCTACGATCACCAGCCTTCAACTTTATTAGTCTAGATAGATTTTTTTTATTAGTTTTGTATGTTTTGGGCAATATTTTTGCGTCTTTAAAATATATTTTTGAAATTTTTTATACTTTTATCAGTTTTTAGATTTTCCAGCTATTTTCCTAAAAGTATATTTTTACTATAAATGTCCTTTCTGCTGCTACTTCAGTAACTTTTTCCATAGCATAAACACTTGGAATTGGTGTTTTCCTGTTAAAATTTTAAAATAATTTTCATTTTTCAGAACTATATTTTATAGTTCAGTAAACTGTAAATATACAACATGCTTTAAATTTCATAATCGTGTAGTTCTTTATTAAAGTTGAGAAACTTGTATTGCTTTTTATACGTGAGCATTGTTAGAAGGAAAAAAATACTGATCCATAGATACAGTTCTATTAAAGCCATGTTTCAAGTTAATTCTGAATATAAATTATGTAGGGTTTTATTTATGTATATTTATATGTAAATGTCATCACAGTGAATTGTTTATCATTGAAGTCTAGGGTCAGATTTGTTTATGTGGGAAAACTCTTGCACTAATTACTAAGTAAAGTGTTATTGGGGCCTTTGAATCTTTATCATTGTGTTCTTTTATCTAAATTAGTATGTTTTACTCCAGTGTAAGTTTTCTGTGTGTCTGTTCTTCCTCTGAAAGATGTTGCTTAGGTCTTTTATCTACTTTAAATAAGAAATACATTTGTCATAGAGTGTGTTTAATAAATATATCAAGGGATCTGTTTAGCAAAGCGTAGCTTAATATTATTAGAATGAAAGTCCAATTTTACTGTATTAAGCTGGGCCTGGAATTTTTCTTTTAAATCAGACTGTAGTCTGCTTGAAATAGATTTGTGTACATTTGGCTATGGCACCTCATCAGATTTTGAAAAAGATAAAAGTCAGTATGGAGGATGGAGTAACAGAAGTAAAATTGGAAAGACTTGGGAAATGGAATCTGGACTGCTTAAGTGCAATGAGGAACAAAGAAGTTGAGAATCAGGGAAGGACTTTTTTTTTTCCAAAGACATATTCCTTTCTTCAAGGGGAAAAAAAAGCTTCCACATTTCTTGTCTTAAACTTTTTCTCTTCCCATATAGATTGGTATAAATGTCACTTCTAATACTTTCTCAGATTTCTTGTGCATTTGACTAATAAGTATTTTAATATGAATATTCAAAGAATTATAAAAGTTTGTGGGATTTTTTTAAGAAAAATGCAATTAAACATAATTGGCAAAATTCTAAAATGTGGATTAAGATTTATACCAGAAAGTGGTATAATTGTGTGCATTGGAGTCTTATTTCATGATCTTTAAATAATGATTTTTAAAAAATAAAATGTTTCTTTCATTTTTTTTTTTCCGGTGAGGCGGTTGGGATTAAGTGACTGGCCCCCCGAGTCACACAGCTAGTAAGTGTTATGTGTATGAGGCCTGATTTGAACTCAGGTCCTCCTGAATCCCGGGCCGGTGCTCTGTCCACTCTGCCACCTAGCTGCCCCCTAAAAATAAAATGTTTGACTAAAAATTTAGGATGATTGAGCTGAAAATCCTAAGTTCCATCTCCTAGGGCTGTAAAATAGAAGCACCGGCATAAGTGAATGAAGAGCATGTCCAGAAGACGTGAAATTCAAGTTCTGCTTCTTGACATGTACTAGTTGTTTGTGCAAATCACTTAAACCTCTTAGTGTTCCTGGGCAGTTTGCTAATTCTCTTAATTGCAGATGGATCTGAGTTTTCTCCCACAAAGTTTCCTATACCAACGAAATGACAGTCTTGAAACCACCTCCCACCCTCATCCCCAGTCCTCTACCCCATAGCATACACATAAGGTCAGGGAAAAGGGAATAAGCATTTATTAAGGGATTACTATATGCCCAAGACTGTGCTATGTGCTTTACCTAAATATTTCTTTAGGTTCTCGCAACAATCCTATGAGGTAATTGCTATTATGATTCTCATTTTACAGTTAAGGAAACTGCGGCAGGTTAGGTGAGTTATTCAAAAAGCTCTCTCCACTGGGCTACCTTAGCTGTCTTTTAAAAATGCCATATTTGAGACTGGCATCTGTATACTTAAGGGAAAGGCTCTTGCTATATGTCTTGGAAAAAGGAATAATGTACATTTACAGATGATGTTCTGATTTCCAGTGCTAAGAATTTTGGCATTTCAGAAAAATAAAAATAACTTTTAAAACATAAGATTTAATTCCAGTCTTATTGATAGAGGTTCATATTCTGTACATTTTAAGTAAAATTATCTAATTTCTAAGTTATTTGGAATCTCATGTCATTCTTGCCAACAATAATGACTTTTTAACAATGAACAAGTTCTAGTATAGCTTATTTATTAATTTTGACTATCTTAAAGATAAGAATCAAGATGGATTGCTCCAGTTAAAACAGCTTCTTTGTGAAGCTGACTTAGATGTGGACATAGTTTGCTGAAATTTAGCCAGTGCTTTCTATTGCTCCCAACTGTTCTTTCTTGCTGAACATCTTCAGATCTAAATTTAAGACACTGATAGATTGTGGTAAATTAAAAAAAGAGGCATCTCTGAATTTAAAGGATTAAGAATCTTCACATTGGATCAAGCTGGATCCATATTTTAATTTCTTTTTCCAGTACTTTGTTATGTCAGAACATTCTACTACCATGTTTTAGATTCTGGGCCCCTAACATTTTACCAAAAAAAAAAATTACTCAGCCCTATTGTAGTCCACGTTCACAAAGCAACTAATTTTTGGACTTAGAAGCAGTTCACACCTGCTTTGATAGCTGATCATCTGTTCATCCACTGAGGAAATAGGACTGTTTTACTTAGGCCAAATGAACTGGTCTTGTTTTTATGCTATTTTCAATCATTTTAATCTGATTTTACCTATATAAAAATTCTGGTTTAAAGGGAGAGAGGGTGGGGGTAGCCCTAGAGATGTCTTGAACTTCAATATGAATTCAGTTATATTTGGAAGGACCAAATACTACTACTGTTTTAAGTACTCCAGTTGCCAAGATGCCAAGAACACTACCAAATCTAATGATTTAAAAGGTTTCTAGCAAAGCAGCTAATGATTAGCTGGTTATTCTGAAACTTGTTTGCACAAATGTGGTGAAAGATGGTATATTTGGGCTCTGTGTAACCACAGTTTAAATTCTTTATATAAACACGAACTATGATTTATGATTATGCTTGTTTAGATTATTTGAGTTATTTACAGCTAACTGCCTATTTTTCTTGGCTGTTGAAATTCTGTAGATGAGGTCTGGAAATGCCTTAACTTAAAAAAAAAAACCTTTATGTGCCTTCCAAAGATGTACTGCCTCTCCTAAAGGCCTCTTTTCAGAATCCTTAATATAGAACTTAAGAGGGGAAATGGACCCATACCTCAAGTTCTCTTTTAAAGTTAGCATATTTTTATTGGGAAAATGAGCAGGGGGGCAGCTAGGTGGTGCAGTGGATAGAGCACTGGCCCTGGGTTCAGGAGGACCTGAATTCAAATGTGACCTCAGACACAAAAACACTAGCTGTGTGACCCAGGGCAAATCACAACCCCATTGCCTAGCCAAAAAAAAAAATGAACAGGAACATTATCATTTATGATCTTAGAACAGTTAAAGCACTGAGAAAGTAATGGCTAGTCAAGATTATAGGCAACAGTCAAACCTTTTTGGGAAGGGTAAGTGGATTCTAGTTCCAGCTTTGCCAACTTTGTGATGGACAAATCACTTCCCAGTTCTCTGCCTCAGTTTTCTTATTGGCAAAGTTAGGACTGGGGAGATCTCAAGTTTTTTTCTGGGTCAAAATTTAGATTCCTAAGGTAAAATGTTCTTTGAGAAGTAGATTGTATATCCTTCCCATTGCAAACTATACATTCCTTCACCTAGCACAAATTGTTGCAGTTTTATCATTCGGTCAGGTTAATTGTCACTTCATAAAACACAACACATTCCTTAGGCTGAGATACATTTCTGGGGGAAAAAAAGTGTATATGTATGTACACACACAATTATACTCTGAAAGGCCATGTGCCCCAGGATGATGTACTTGGGAGTTAGGATGGTTTAAATCCCTGGTTCTTCCAATTGACCTGGGGCATCTCCTAATGTCCCTTGGCCTCGGTTTCTTTATCCATAAAATGAGGGATTGTATTACCTTTCCAACTCTGAGGCTACCAATCACTCAATGCAGCCAACGTGGAAACAGTTTTGTGAGGGCATGTGCCTCTTAACAGATTTCTTGTAGTCATCAGCAATTTAAGGGAGTTAGGAGAACAAGAACAGTTTTGTGACTAAATCAAGTTCTAATTTTGATCTCCTGCCACAGGCCCTAAAGACTGGCATTTTGATTGGTAAGTTCAATAATAGAAACATACTGGGAAGATTTTTGTAACATGAATTATGCAGAAAAATGTGTAGTCATGGGGGGGTAGGGTACTGTGCAGTTTGGTCTTTATGACGATTACAGTAGTTACTTCTTGTAGGTTAATATCACATTTGTTAAATAGTTTTAATTCATGGTACCCAAAAGTGTTAACGCTAACTACCTAGTTTATAGAGGGCCCAAAAGAACATGTTCCAGAACAGCCAAATTTTTTCAGCAAGAACTTAAGTACTTAACGCTAGTAGCCGTGTGCATAAGGTTGGGAAGCGACCCTTTTGGCACCTGTCTTAACATGCACTGCTTTCCAACCTCGAGCAAAGCCACCAACTGAACCCTTTTTGTCTCTGGCTTCCTGGGCAAAATCTTTTCCTCCCGAGGAACTGAGCTCAGGGCTTCGTTTTTTTTAGCCTCCTTGAGGTAGCAGTTTAGGAAACTAGTTGTTGGGAAGTTTTCTCCGATTTATCTACCCTAAATGTGTCTCTTATGTTAAATTGTCGTGTGCAACTCTTCGTGATCCGGTTTGGGGTTTTCTTGGCAAAGGTACTAGAATGGGCTGCTAGGATCTGCGCCCGAATCTGGATGAAGGTTTCCTGACTCCATGCTCAGTGCTCTGCCCACGCGCTACCTCGCTGCCCCACGTTCGTGTTCCCACCCACCGCTCCTATGTCTGTGTTCTGGGACGAGCGGTACAGGGCTAATCTTCAAATACTTTTACAGCTTTCTCCAAACCTCCATGCCAACTTTATGCGACTGATCCCCGAATGACATTTTCTGGTTTCTCACCCGCCTGCTTACCAGACGTAGGGTTCTGGGCCTGCAACCTAGACGAGAGAAAGCTAGCTAGTGCAACCAGAGACCTCTTCCTGGGAGTTCTCGGGGAGCCCTCCTATGCTTTGCTCGATGGGCGTGGCGAATAACCGGCGCGGGAGCTTTTAATCTTCTAGCCAATCAGAAAACGGTTGCTGAGCAGGGCCTGGGACTGTCCCAGCAAATCAAAAGTGGCGCACCTGACGAGAGGCGGGGGTTTTCTGGGCTAATAATGTGAGGCCGTTGCGGCTGGGAAGCCAGGGGTGGGGCCTGCTCTGAGGAGCGTGTGGGCGCGCGGGGTGTCCAGAGCTGCAGTCGTGCGCCCTGGTGTTCGGGAAGAGCTTATGAGTGATACAGCCCCCGCACTTCCCCTGCAGAGTTTGCGGGGACGTAACAAAGGCCACGAGCCTGCCAGCGATGCGGGCGCTGCGGCCCAAGCCAGGGGCAGGGGTGGCATCTACGTGGCCCCGCCCCGCCCTCTCCCAGGAGAAACTTTCCGGGGCGCCCAAGGTGGGGGAAGTTGTGAGGAGGGATCTGAGGGGAGGGAGTAGACGGAGAGCGAAGTTGGCCGCGGTGACCTCGGTCCGGGGAAGGAGGGGGGCGGGAAGCGGCGTGGGAGAGGAGGGGATGTTCTTCTGTCCCCGGTCCGTGCGCGGGGGGCGGGGACCGTTGTCTCTTTTTGTTCCTTCGCCCCACCACCGCTCTTTCTGGGAGGGGCCGATGCCGAGAAGACTCCGCCCCCAGGGGAATCCCGGCCGGGTGCTCCCTCCTCGGGAGCTGTTAGCGCCCCGCTGTGTCTCCGAAATGTGTTTGGTGTAAAGTTGTTACGCAGATTTAGTTCATCATTGGCCGTAGTTTGAGATATAAAAATTGTAATTTGTAATTATTATAATTTTGTATTTTTAGTATTGTTATTATATGTGATTGTAATTGTATAGGTACATATGTACAAAGTATATGTAATTATATATGTACATATATGTTGTATATGTACATAGTATATGTAATTGTAATTTAGTATTGTAAAGGGATATGTAATCCCTTTGTAATTAAGTATTGAGTAAATGTTCACCTTAAGGATTTTTTTTTTTAATTTCCTAAGTGTACACCCTGCACCTAGTTGGCTGCACTGGCAGATGAGTATTTGGTAAC